ATTTCCCTAAAGATTGTGGGAGAGTTCTTAAACCCTTGTGGAAGCACAGCCTAACAAATTTTTTGTTTGGCATGGGGTTTGGGATTTGCCATTCAAAGACCAATATCTCTTGAGAGTTTTCTTCTAGTGGGATGTAGAAAAAGGTATCCTTTCAGCCTAGTACAGTGAACCAAGAGAGTGCAAGGGTTGGGAACAACTGAGTATAGATTCTGCACCATGTGATTTTAGGCCCTGAGAGCCTCTACAGGCATTCTTCAGAATTTGGCCATTTCACTGGAAGGCTAGGCATATTATATGGGGAATGGCATGATCATATTAGACCTTAACTTAAAAAGGCCATCAGAAATAACCTCATTACATTTTCCTCTTTTGTAAGGGATATATTTGAAATTAGTTATTTCATGGTCTTTCTTTAGGAACACCCAGATATGTGTGTGATCCAGGAACATTCTGACTTCCTGTTCACCCATACTTCCTCTTTCATACCCAATTCAAGGTACCTTCTGGTACCTCCAAGGAGTCTTCAGTTATTCTGTAGCAAAAATTGGTTATCCAGCCAGTTATCAATATCAGGCATGTTTAGATGAAACAGCTATTTCTAGCCCATCTTTTGAGAAAAGTTACCTGTCCATTCAGTTTTGCTAGGCATTCTGGCATTGATAGAAAGCTGTGCTTTAAGTTCATGTTGCCAAAGTGACATTCCAAAGGCTACGAAAAAGGTTTCCCCTGTTATAGCCAGTTACAATCGTATGGTTTTTTAAATCAGGAGATAGGCATGTGTTAATTTCAGAATAAGTTTCCTTCTTTTATAGGTAAGATTAATTTGATCCTCCCTGTCATTTGTAGTTAAGGCTCCTCTAGTGATATAAGGAAAAATCATGTTAAATCTAAGGGAGGGAGAGCGTGGGCTTCTTAATCCGTGTGTGTGTGTGTGTGTGTGTGTGTGTGTGTGTGTGTGTTGCTAGGGATGGAACCCAGGACCTCACACATGCAAGTTCCCTACCACTGAGTTACATCCCCAGCCTTAGGTGTGGGTTAGGCCAAATTATGTGCCCTGATGGGTAGAGGAGAGAAAACCGTTATAGACTTTTCCTCCCTTCTGAATAATTTCTCTGCTACTCTATGCTCCCATTAGGGGATGGAGTGTCTGCAACCACCAGTTGAGGAGCTTGTGGTAGCAGAGCCATTTGTGGACTTAAAACATTTAAAGATTTTTCTCTATCTTTCTCCCATTCTGTATCAGCAACAACAAGCTTAAGTTTTTTGGTTTTTTTTTGCCTGCTGAATGATGATTTTACATCTGCACCAAGCAGGTCCACTTTGATAAAGTAACAGGAAGCCTTCCCATCTGCCTTCTCTCTTACAAAAGACTTCTAATTGTCAGGCGGTATAATGACTTCGGCTCCTATTTATGGGCCATTTTTCTCCTAAGCCTAAAGCCTATTAAGCAAGGGTTCCTCTATTAAATTTTCCCAGGGGATCCTTATACATGAAATCCAAGAAATTGAATAAAAATGGAAAGAAAGAATTTTGTCACCACACGTCCCAAGGCAACTCACTCAACTGTTYCAAATTGAAACCAAGGGCTGGGGGTGTAGCATGCAGAAGGCCTCATATTCCATCCCCAGCACCACAAAAAAAAATTTTTTTTTAAAGAAAAGAAAAAGGGACAAAAGTTATGAAACTCATGAGTTTCTCTGCTTCAAGTGGTTGTGCACCAAAAGTGACTGGTTGTTACAGAAGACAGTCTGGAGAAATCCCCTGGACAAACAGTACCTTGGCTCTTCAGGGGTTCTCCAGATATCCATAGTATTAGGGTCAGTTCACCATGGGTACAACACTCCTGGCTGGTTCAACAAACTTGTCAGTGAACCCTCAAATCATATTCATGTGCACAATGTAGAGCAAGCACCAAACATCAAACACCAGAGTTTGGGGTAGAGAAAGTTTAATTGAGAAGGTATCAATCAAAAAGATGGAGGGAAAGTCAGATCCACCTTCCCCCAGCAAGTATAATTGTGGGTTCTACAAGGGAAAAGAGCACAAAAGGCAGAAACTGGTACTTTCACAAGTTTCAATAAAACCAGGGTGTGTAGTTTTCTTCACTCTAGTGGACGTCTGGTGAACYGATAAGCAATCTATAGTTTGGCAAATCAAGTTTATAAAATCACTCTGTGACCCTGTTAGCTCATTCTTCTGCAGTAAAGATACCAAGCTTGTCAATGATAATTGATAATTGATAAGAATGGGAACAGAGAGTATGTGTTCAAGGTCTGATCAGCTGAGGAAAAGAGGAATATGCTCTGCCTGGTGTGGCACATGAATATGATTTGGGGATTCATTAACTAGGGAGGGAGAATGGACCAAGCCTCTTAAGAAAGAAAACCTTCTATTAATTTCACTTGGGGGGCTCAGTTAAAAAGGCACCACATGGTCCAGCCTGTCACCGATGCTTCTTTTTTGACTCTACATTTTTTTCTATACTAAGCAGTCACAGTGACCATTTAAAAAGGGGAAATAATGTATAATGCTATTTCCCTACTCTGAACATTATCATGAATTTCCTCGAAAAAGCATTCAGGGTTGGATGTAGTGGTATAGGCCTCCAGCAACTCAGGAGGCTAAGGCAGGAGGATTGTAAAGATTGAGGCCAGCTTCAGCAACTTAGAGAGACCCTGTCTCAAAATGAAAAAGGACTAGGGTTATAGCTTAGGGTAAAGCACTCCTGTTCTCAATCCTCAGTTTAAAAAAAAAATACAACTCCTTTTCTCTCTCTAACTTTATTTCTTATATACTTGGCCTGGGTCACTCTGTTTCAGCCTTGAGAACCTTCTTGCTTCCACTTCAGTCCATCAGTCTTGTTTTATCCCCAGGGCCTTTGCACATGCTCTGTCTGCTGTCTAGCACACCCTTTGCATGTGTTGCTCTCTGATTTTGGTCAAGTCCCTACTCAGATGGTATCTCCTCCAAGAGACCTTACTAGGAAGCCTATCAATAAAGCACCTCAAATCCCACCACCACCCTCTTGATATGACAGCTTCTGTGTAACACCATATCAAGTATTTGGTTTTTTTGTCTGCCACCCTCCCTAGACTAAGCAGGGGGTTTGCCTTAATCACTGATATGTATCCTCTATTCCAAATGCTCTTTGGCTCATAGTGAGTACTCAATAAATATTAGTTGAGTGAATTAAGCAGAGTTATGAGTCAACTGCTTAATCTAAAAGTCATAAGATGGAAAATAGTCTGGCCCACGGTTCTATTTTGTTAATACAACAGTGTGTAACAGTGTTTCATATTAGTTTAAATTAGGAATTAGTTGACAGCTTTTATTAATTGTGAAATTTCATATAAAAATTACAACAACTTCCGGCTTCTTTTGAAAAATCAATAGATTTTTGTATTGGTGGGTCCTTAGAAAAGAGGGACCTATTAGAGCTTGTCTATTAGAGTCGCTCCTTTCTGACCTGGATTACCCCAGACTCCACCACTCCCTGTTGCCCTGTTGCCTTCCTGATACTGATGGCATGCTTACACCTGGCTCTCTTTATTGCCTTGTGTTAACCGGCCTGGCCCTGCAGGTTGTCCGGGCCTACAGTAAGCACATATGTGGTAAGTCCTCCAACATCTGTCCCATGTATTTGTGTAATCTTTCCTGTCTCATTTAGAAATGAAACTAATCCTGTATTCCACCTTCAAGCCATATTCATAATTAGACATGCATATTAGCCTTTGGCCATTCCAGTTAAAGAGCAATCAACCTTGATTGACAAACACAGTTGAGTTTTCCTAACTGTTGAAAAGACAGAAACAACCAATTGTGTTTCAAAACAGTTTTCACTTTCAGAAGGTTATTTTAGAAAACCTTTTTTTTTAAAAAAAAAAAAAAGAAACCTCATAGATTTGAAATATTTTCCTTTATTTTCAAAACCTCGTGAATATTCCGTCCAGATGTTTACCTAAAGTGATTCAATTGTTAGCGAGGGACACACCCATATCCTAAGAAAGAAAATAACCACATTTAATAATAGAAGGTTACATAGTCTACAGTTAGAATAAAGAGAAACACACACAAGCAAAAACTATGTCTTTTCATTCATTGTATTGCTGTGCCTACAGATTTTAGAGGCAAGGATATTTACTGCGCGTCTGCTGTGTGTCGGGTACTATTCTAGGCAATTATGGAACTGATGTTCTGTCTTAGACTCTAGGGAATCAGAAAAAAACTAAAGAAACATATAGGCAAATGTGATATGTAGTAAGAGCTGGGAAGTGCTACGGATGAAAAAAAAAGTGGAGTAGGTAAGGGATGTGGGGAGGCCCAGCTGGTTACTATAATAGTGTAGTGAGGGTCAGTCACATTGAAAAGGGCAGGTCCTAAAAGCAGGGCAAGGGTGGCATGTGATTTAGCCAAGTGGATCTATGGGGAAAAAGCCTTCCAGGATAAGGAAAGATTTAGAGCAAACTCCCTGAAGTAGGTAGGATTGTGCCCGATGTGTCAAGAAACAGTGTGAATACTCGGTGAGTAGTCACTGGTAATGAACAAGTGCATGAATGAACACACTATTCTCCAGAGTACGTTTCCATGGGGGTATTCTAGCCTCCTCAACTTAAGAAAATTTATCATTATTCTTAATTAACCTGTATTTTAATTGGCCATAACCTGAGCTTTGACACTCTATGACAATATGCTGTTTCAATTTTCTAAGGGAAACTTAAGTAAGGGCCCCCAGTTGGCCTTGCAGAGGGGATTCAGACCAAGCGACTGTGTATGCATGATGAATTCTCATAAGCTGGCTGCATTTTATTATTCCCCACACATTCTCCCCTTCCATATATCAAACACGAGTGCTTTTCAAAGGCATAGTCCGTGAGAAAAAGAATGAGCGCTGAGATGTCTTATCTTCCTCTTGCATGTTAATTACTCTGCACTAAGTAATGTAGTTCAGAGGGAGTCCTGTGAAAGCCTCCCTAACAGAGCTCCATGTTTCCCCCATGCAGCTGCTGGCAGAGGACTGGCCATTTGGAGCTGAGATGTGTAAGCTGGTGCCTTTCATACAGAAAGCCTCCGTGGGAATCACTGTGCTGAGTCTCTGTGCTCTAAGTATTGACAGGTAGGAATTCATTTTTAAGTCAGGTTTATCCTAAACACCATAATACTGTTGGCTTAGTTACTTAGACAATAAACTATGTAATTCCACAAAACCAACCAGCTTGAAAAACAATTCCATTTTCATCTTCAGATATCGAGCTGTTGCTTCTTGGAGCCGAATTAAAGGAATAGGAGTTCCAAAATGGACAGCAGTAGAAATTGTTTTAATTTGGGTGATCTCTGTGGTTCTGGCTATCCCCGAAGCCATAGGTTTTGATCTGATCACAATGGACTACAAAGGGAGTCGTCTGCGAATCTGCTTGCTTCATCCCATTCAGAAAACAACCTTCATGCAGGTAAATTTTACTCCACCCCCACTTTCTGCTCTGGCCTTATAAAATGTATGGATATTTTTCCCCAGTTCCCCTTCCTTGAGCAGTTATTGATTTATGACTGTCCTGGGCATTAATTAAGAGTATAGATCCTAGTACTGTGGGTTAACATTGACTAATGACCCAAGTGCAAGAATTGAGATCAGTACTTTCCCAGAACACCCTAAATCTCAGAGATACAAATAAACCAAGTCCACATGAGAATTGATATGAGTTTATGGTGTTTCTACTTAAAACCATACAAGGACTGACCACTTTACATATCTGCATAAGCATTGGAGGAATGGATGATTCTGCAAATGTTCCAAAAGAAGATGCCTGATATGGGTGTGTTATGAACAGCAAACCTGCTCTCTGTCTTTGATACTAAAGGGAAGCTACCTTTGCAAAGAATTTTTCATCTTGGCCACTTTTGAAGAATGCTTTGTAGTTGTAGTTTTCAGTCCTGGGGATTGAACCCAGGGCCTACGCTTTCTTCGATGGAGCTAAAGATTCAGAGCCCTTTTGCCATTTCTATTTTTTATTTTAAGACAAGGTCTCACTAAGTTGCCCAGGCTTGGCCTGGGATTGTGATCCTTCTGCCTCCGGAGTACTGGGATTATAGGGATGTACCACCACACCCAGTTTAAAGAATGATTGATTGGGAAATAGGAAAAGATTGATGACACCAGTCTCTAAAAGACAGATCCTAAATATAAAGACCCTATTCAACAGAATGGATTAAGAGAATATGCAAAGGGGCTCATCTAACCATAGCCAAAGATTATTTTCTATTTTACATACAATAATACTATATAAAATTTATCCAACTGTGTATATCATAGTAAATAAAATAATTTTAAAAGGACATAATGTGAAATTGAGAATAAGATTATTGCTTATTTATTAGTAAAAAGAGGGGAAAGTGCTGTATCAGTTATATAAGATATTCTCCAACACAGATATATGTGGAGTAATAGTAYTTTTTAAAAAAGATAACAGAGCAGAAAAAGAACAAGAGTAAAAACATTTCATAAGCACTTTGAGTTTTTGAGAGCTTTGATTTATACATTTTATTACCRAAATGGTTAATATAGACCTTTTCATGTCTGTTTTTCCCATTAAACACAATAAAAAGTGAAAACTTCCCCTAAATTCTAGGATATCATTACACATTCAGGTATAATATTTCACACAAATAATACTCTTATAATAATCTATGTAAAGATGAAACTGAATCACCATTTATTTCAAATTTGGTCCAGCTGTTTAAATTTTATGCATAATCACACAGAACTGTTTCCAAAGAACCGAAATATTGTTCAGAAAAGCTTCATTTAATATATTACTTAATTATTTGTGGACTCAGAGATTCTATATAGCATTTATAAAATGGATCTACTTTAGGAGATAATCACCCCTTGATGAATTACTTTTTAGGTTTAACTTTTGGTATATATATATATTTTTAAAGAAGAATATTAACCATAGAAAATTCCCACTTCCCCATAGTTTTACAAGACAGCTAAAGATTGGTGGCTCTTCAGTTTCTACTTCTGCTTGCCACTGGCCATCACTGCACTGTTTTACACCCTGATGACCTGTGAAATGTTGAGAAAGAAGAGCGGCATGCAAATCGCATTGAATGACCACCTAAAGCAGGTAAGAAGGTGCCCAGGTTGGATGGCTTGTGGCTGTCATTACCACTAGAGAGATGAAAACTGATTTTGATGAGAATAAACTAAAATTACATGCCAGAGAGCGTAACCATTTTCTTCCTTCAGGTATTTTTTTATTATAAGGAATATTGTTATTTTATCTATTTAGAAGTAGTCTATATGATCTAAAAGAAGAGAAACCATTACTTTTGAAAGATGAATCCTTCATCATTTTAGTTCTAATTGATATTAACTATTCAAAAGAAGTATCAATGTTCTAAATTTTTAGTTGAGGGATATCAAATATGCTGTTTGGGAAGAGTGTATGCTGTATATATAAAAGGCTCATGTTTAAGGGTCTGACTGGTTTTATTTCAGAGACGAGAAGTGGCCAAAACAGTGTTTTGCCTGGTCCTTGTTTTTGCCCTCTGTTGGCTTCCCCTTCACCTCAGCAGGATCTTGAAGCTCACTATTTACGATCAGAATGATCCCAACAGATGCGAACTTTTGAGGTACGAAAGGTGGAATGGAAATCATTTTGTAAACAAATGCCACGCAGGAGTGTTTTCATCGATCCCTTTCATAGGCACACAAAATACCACTTTTTTAGTCCATAGGGAGCAATTAAGACTCCCAATTTTACACTCCTGTTTGAGGGGGAGGAGTTAAGGGGGCCTGGGACAACCCTGGGAACACACAGACACAGCATGATGAGCGATGAGCCATGAGGGAGTGGCAAGACTTGACAGTGTCAGAGCTGATTCTCCCTGACACTTGGAAATGCTCTCTTTTCGGCCATCCTCAGCACTTCCCAATGAAGTTGTATTTTAAAAAAGGAAAGTTGGGCATGGGAAGGGACCATGGGGAAGGGCAGTGGAGATGAGAGACCCAACGAGTGACAGAGGCAAGGGACAGCGATTGTTACTAGCAAATTAGTGACAAATTCAGAACCACTGGATCTAGGCAATATTTTTTTTCCCCTCACAAAAACACAAAAGTCTACAGTGAACACATACTCAGAGCAGCATCTTTCATAGACATGTTGTGGGTTTTTGTCTGTTTGCAGCTTTTTATTGGTGTTGGATTACATTGGCATCAACATGGCCTCCTTGAATTCCTGCATTAATCCCATYGCTCTGTACTTGGTGAGCAAAAGATTCAAAAACTGCTTTAAGGTAAGAGACTATTTCAAAAGAAAAAGCTCTTTGTAATATGACATTAAGTATAACCCTTTGAAACCATCAATATTTCTATCTGGAGACATCTAGCAAATTGTTCTTTAGTTTTCCCTTGCATTACATCAAGGGTGATTTTTAAAATATGAATTTGGCTTATAAGTCACCAGAGTCAGTTTCTTGCCTCTGAATCCTAGCCAGCTACACTCCCTGTTGTCAAAGCCAGTTATTCTCATGGAATCGCTCAGAAAATTAATAAAAGTCACACTCATTGATGTGGGACAGGTGTCACATAATACATAAAAGCTGAATATGAGTAAATGTACCATTCTTCTATTCTTGGTAGATTTTGGACTATTTAGACATAATTCATATTATGATATGTTAGTCACTTTTTTATATGAGCTATGAGAATAGCAAGTCAAACAAAGAAATCGGAATCAAGTTCCAACTCTTCTTTTCCCTAGTTTTATACAACAGAGATGTGCTGCTCCTTTGGGGTGTCTCATTGTTCCTCATGTAGCTGCTGGCACTATAACATCCATCCACTCATCCATTCACTCCTTAAACAATAATCAAAAATGCCCTCCTCTTGGATGGGCATGATCCATTGTCCCTGGTATTTCATTTTGGGAAGCCAAATATTTGGCTTTCTTGTAAACAATCAAGCAGTCTATAAAACTCTTTGGCCACTCAGATTTTAGATCTGAAAAAGAACTTTTCTCAACTCCCTCATTATACAGAACAGAAAAGAGTGAACCTCCCAATCTCCCAATTCCTTTCTTTCTTTCTCCTCAGCGTAACTACTGAGCCACATCCTCATCCCTTTTTATTTATTTTTCATTTTTTATTTCGAGATAAGTTCTTGCTAAATTGCTTAGGCCTCACTAAATTGCTAAACCTGGCTTTGAACTTGCAATCCCTCCTCCTTAGCCTCCCGAGCCACTGGGATTACTGGCGTGCACCACCATGCCCAGTCGACACAATTTCTTATACATATAGTTTCTCAGAAAACAAACAGAATGAACAAAGTTTTGGATTTTTTAAAAAGTCCAAGGAAAACAAAACTAAATTAATACAACTGAGACGCTTGCAACTTCTTAGCTTTATTGTGTAACAACATTGAAAAGGTGTTTGAGGGGGCTGGGGTTGTGACTCAGCGGAAAAGCACTCACCTAGCTCACATGAGGCCCTGGGTTCAATCCTCAGCACTACATAAAAATAAATAAATAAAATAAAGGTATTATGTCCAACTACAACTAAAAAATAAATATTAAAAAACAAAGAAATGGTGTTTGAGGATATGCAGTTGAAAAATAACAAAGTAATAGTAAATTCATTGATTTAGAAAGATGTTTATAATACTGTCAAGTAAGAAAAAGCAGGTTAGGGAGTACACATATAGTACAATCTCATTAAAACAAATACACACTCATAAACACCTGCCGGCATCCAGTCGTGTATATGATAATATTTCTGTTTGTAAGGGTTAAAAAGGTTTTAAATTCTACATTTATCAAATACTGTGTTTATCAAGTCATCAAGAGTATATATCAAGAATTAAGAGTAGTTTTCTTTTGATGAGGAATTTTGATTATATAGTTTTTTTCCTTTATATTTTTTAGTGAAAAATTTTATAAGAGTCCACTAATATAATTATATCTCATTAAGGGGGAATTAAAAGAGCATGGAAATAAAGGGCCCYAGAACTCCCAGTTCTGCAGAGAAAGTCCAACCCTAGAGAGCAGGAAGAATGGGGACAGAGAGTCATGTGCACATATGACAAGCTGCTTTGTTTTGTAGTCATGCTTGTGCTGCTGGTGCCAGTCATTTGAAGAAAAACAGTCCTTGGAGGAAAAGCAGTCGTGCTTAAAGTTCAAAGCCAATGATCATGGATATGACAACTTCCGTTCCAGTAATAAATACAGCTCATCTTGAAAGAACGAATATTCACTTAATCTTATTTTCTTGATTTTGGACAGACGTCATTATAACAAAATGAATCATTTGCCAAAACAAAACAAAAATCTGTATGTTGGTACAAAACTATGTAAAAATGTAAGCAGGGTTATTTTAACACTCATCGTTACACCTGACATTTTATGAGCTGTTTACAATATGAGAAGAAAACCAGTGAGAATTAAGGAAAGCCTCATGGTGAAAGCACTTATTTTTTTACAGTTAGCACTTCAAGGTAGTTCTTACTAATCGTTTCTAGTGTATACATACACACCTTAGATTTCAAAATGAGCTCACTCATAATTCCTGGTAAAGAGGTTTATTTTTAAATCAGATTCGTCTGAATAAAGGAAAAATGTGCCACTTATTATGTAAGACATATTTTTAAGTAAAGTTTCAATTGCTCAATTTGAATATTTTAAAAGTCCTTTAATAAGCAACTTTTCAATGAATGGCATCACATCTGTGGTCAAACTGTAAGTGAATGCAAAATGAAAAGAGTTTAGCTAGTTTATTTTTTGCATGATAGAAACATTTAGGAGATCAGGAGAGAGTATCAGAGAGAGAGAGAGATCAAGGGTCAGTTCTTTGCATTGAAATGAAATCAATGTCAGGAAAGAAAGAGAAGGCTTGAACTGTTGTCACAGAAGACTTTAAAATCTCCCTATCACATGATCTACAAAGAAAATACCACCTACAGTTTTTTTCAGGATTACTGCCTATTCTTCCTTCRGTATGGTAGTTTATTTGTTTACTTTTGTCATCTGTAAATACTTAACTACACACACTACATGTAGATGATTAAACAAGGGGCAGGCCCCTGTGTTCATAGCTTTATGATGGAGATTCCAGTGACCCCAAAACGGACAAAATGTGAATTGCCTGGYGCAGTGTCCACACAGCAATAGAGCAAGGCGCACCCTCCCTCCTTGCTGTAGTCAAAATGATCTCTAGCTCTAAGTATACTTAGAATACTATTTTCTAAAATCATACAAATTAACCAATTTAACAGCTACCTGTGAGGCTTATTACTAACTTTTAAATTTTTTTTTTTTTTTTTAATAACCAACAGAAAGGTGTTCTTGACGTGGTGATTTTCTATCACCAGAAGGCAAAACTTCTTTTTAGGAGCGTAAAAAAACCTTCACTTTGTGCATTCTGATCTAATTTTTTAATCTCTGCAGCAAAGTGCCTTAGATTAATTTGGAATGAGATGCGTTTGAAAGTATGTACAAGAGAAAATGGCAAAGAGAGGAAATGAGATGGGGTGGGAGGAAACCCATGGGGACCCATTCTCCCATGCTGAGCCTGGAGTTCGTCACGGCTCCGTCACATCAATGCGAAAGGTCCTGATTCTGTTCCAGCAGAACACAGTTCAGTGTTCTCAGAGCGACTTCAGGAACAAATTGGGCCCAAGAGCTTTCTGTCTTAAAATATAACAGAATTTCCAATTTATTTCTTTTAGGAAGTCAGGCCACATGTTGGAAATAAGCTAGGAATGTTGTTTTCTGCCAGAATCCAATGTGACAATACAATAAGCTGAAACTCAATAATGTGGCAAAAAAAAAAGAGGGGGCAATAATTAAATGATTAGTTCAATGCCACATGGATTATCTTTGCAAATTTGTTTATTAATTTCTTCTCAATCACTTTTTCAAATGCCTGTCATCATAAAAGACATTTCAGATTTTCAACTTTAAATCAACGTTGGGCCATTTAATTGTCTTCACAGTTTATGAATAGATCTTTTTTCCTGTTTCAATTTTAGATCATTTTATTACCATTTACTGAGATTTTATATCCTAATAACCTTCTCGTTTACACTCCAATGCTGTTCCTTCTCTATGTCAGAATCCTGGTTTGTATCATCTTGCCAAATTTTAAAGCTGAAACTAAGAAGACTTATGCACTATTTGTAATAAAATGATATTCAGTAGCTTTTCAAAAAAAAATTGTTCAAAATTTTGACATACTGATAAAGGGTGGTTACAAACAATCACGATTTCTTTGCATGATGAAAACTAAGATGGAAAAGTGCTACTCTTTAACTTTAAAACAAATTTCCTAGTACAAAGAACTATTTAATATAACAACAAAAATGGTGTTAACATGGATCTTATAGCTAAAAGATTTGCAAGTGATTTTAACCTGTTTTCTTCCTTATTACTCACTGCTAACAAGGGTATAATTTCAGACACCTTTTAATATTAACAGCTTACACATGGCCAAAGGAATACAGTTTATAGCAGAACATGAGTATGCTGTAGCTAACTTTATAAAATTGTAATATAACCATGTAAAATAATTATATATTTTGTTTTCCCCCCCTGTGGTCACTTAAAGTGGCAACTATTGTAGTTGCTGTTTCCTTATTATGTAAACAAAACCAATAAAATTTGTTTAAAAAAATAGCTTATCTTTCACTGTGCAGGCACTAATTCAATAGATATTGAATAAGTATTTAAAGGAAATAGAGATGTAACAGTGGACATTATTTATGTTAAACATACAATTATCAAAGAAATATGAAAGTTATTAAAATGCTACATTTCTAGTCTTTAGACTACGTTGTTGGTATGTTTCATTGTGTGAAGAGCCAAATGTACAGATAGACATTGAAGTTCCCAAGGTCGATTATCTGGATGGTAGTTGCCATGGCCTCTTAATGTCTGTCTTTCTCTGGTTGCTAATTTGGGAGCATTTTACTCTTTAACCATTATTGTACCATAAACAAATGGGAAAGACTGAAACTATATTTGAGGATTATCCATTTCATTTCCAAAGCTTATTTTAGTGTTTGCTATATGCAAAGCAGAATGAAATTATTACAGATTAGCATCTCTCATTAGAAAATTTGAAATCCAAAATGCTCCAAAATCCAAAACTTTGGGGGCACTGACATCATTCCACAAATGGAAAACTCCATACTTGATCTCATGTAACAGGTTRCAGTCAAAACTCAGACCACCAAGTATACTACTATCTATGCTACCATAAAATGATCTTCAAGTTATGTGTATGAGGTGTAAATGAAACCTAAACAGGTCTCCTGCTTGAACTTGGGCCCTAAACCCAAGATATTGTATTATGTATATGCAAGTATTCCAAAATCCAAGAGAGAGGCTCAAAGAAAAGCTAGAATAGGAAAAAAAATAAGAGATAGTGAATAAGATATTATAGATCACAAATGCAAAAGGAATGGACAGAGAAGAGTTCAGAAGAGACTAGAAGGAACAAAGAAGCACAGTGTCATTAAAGCCAAGGGGGAAGGAGAAGCAAATCAAAGGTGTTGGCTGAGAATCTGAGTACAATGGTAACAGAAACGTGTCGTTGGAAGGTGGTGACTAGACAAACAATGGGGACCTTACCTGGAGCAGATTGTGCGGTACACATGTGGCATGAATGCGTGTGTCACCTTAGTGCTAGAGAAGAATTAACTTCTGTAAAGACAGTGGATTAAACATATTTTTTTATTCACCTGCTATAACTCCACTAAAATGAGGGAAAAAAGTAAAAGGTATAAACTTACAAGGACAGGGATGAAAGAGAAGACACCAGCCAAGCAGAAATGCTAGCCAAATTCTGTACGAGGACAACCAGATAGATAAGGGACAGCTATTCTGGCTTCCGCTTCCCTCTACTAGGTGTCCACCTGTGAAGTAGGCTAACATGTTCCAGGATCCAGAATGCACTCAGGAACCAGATGCAGCAGACATCTTTGAACACACCAGACTGAAGTGGGGTCAAAAATAAAAGGACTTAATTAAAAGTTTAACATATACTAAAAAAAAAAAAAAAAAAGACAAGTGGTTTTTTTATTTCCAGATAAGATTATGTATGATTGGACTTGGTCCCAGCAAGGAGAGCAGAAGGTAGAAATGTGGCCCCTTACTGGAACCAGGCAATCAGCAAAGACCTGACTCCTAGACAGTGAGATCTCCAGCTCTGATCCATACTATCAATGATTAGTAGCCTTGTATGTCCAAGGCAAGAAAATGAAGATTCTGTTCCAAGGACATGAAAAATCCAAGGGGAAAAAAAATCCTACAGATGTCAACACCAAGGATAAGGGGAATTTTCACCAAAATGAGTTATGCCCTGTCCCATTCCATCCACATACATAGAATTTCCAATTTGTCCCTTAATGCCATATTTTTAAAGATAAATAAGTAGGTAAAAGCCAAGAGACATTTTAGGAAACTTTGAAATGGAAGACAGAAGCTGAAACAAACAGGGGGAAAAAAGTGGGGAGATTGAGGAAACAGAAAAAGTGCCGGAGCAAAAGAAAAAAAAATCAACAAAACTATCATTAATTTTCTCAGAGCAATAAGAAACAAAAAGCAAAACCCGATGCTGAATGAACAAAAAGAAGCACTCCAGAATCAAGAAGCTGCTTAAAACCTTAAAATGTGCTTGGGGCAGCAAATTTAAACACAATAAAAAAAGTTTTTCAAAGGTCAAAATTGAGGAAATTAGAATGTGAAATTACTCTACCAAAGTGTGCTTCAGCACACAAGGAAGGAAGTTAAGGAATCCAGGAAACAGGGGAGGCCAGTGGAGGAAAGAATCAAAATCAGTTCCCAAGACGACAGGGGAAAGTTCTCTTTAGCCTATGAGACTGTCAGTCTGGCTAGGAGCAGAAAAGCAGAGGAAGTCTATCTCTAAGAGGAAAACAGAACAGACATTGCCTGGTACATTGGATCATATTCGTGGGAATATGTAGCTGTATAATATATATACATACACACACATATATAAATAGATAAATAGATGGATATGTTCATAGCTATATGACTTGGATATGTTTCATATCTATGCTAAATAAGATTATTTTAACCAAAACTATGATGCATATAAATTGGAAGGAAAAGTGTGCTTGATGGGAATGGGGCAAAACAACTAAATCTGTTTTTCCCTAGTAAATATTCTAACACCCATTTTGGAAAATATTTGGGAACTAATCCAGGGAAGATGAAGATATGCTTCACCTAAGACCAAACAATTCTATTTGTAGACAAACTGCTGATGCGACCAGCACATAGAYACTAAAATGTTCACAGAAACATTGTTTGTTTCAGCCAGAAAAACAGATAACAAATTTGGTGGAATGCTCTACAGTATTTCATACAGTGGCAAGTTCTTCAATGGGTTACTAGTAGACCTCAGAGCTACTGACATTTTGGGCCAGAAAATTGTTTGTTGTAGGGATGGTCCTGTACGTTGTAGGATATTTAGCCACATCTTTGGCCCCTAACTGCTGGATTCCAAAAGCATCCTCCCACATTGTGGAAATCAAAATGTTTCCAGACATTGTCAGACACCTCCTGAGAGGAAGCACTCCCACTGAGAACTGCTGTATTTCAGTATGACTCCACCAATATGAAGTTCAAAATGTGGCAAAATTGACCTATATTTTATGGGAATAATTATAGTTGATAAAAATCCATAAGGGAAAGCAAGGAAATTATCCTGCAAACAAGGCTATTTGCCATTCTTGGGAAACAAGGGAATGTGGGGACTTGGAAGAGATGCATGAAGATCTTTAGGCCTTGGAGAAGTATTCTTATAAGTAATAATGATTACTTATTACATTATTTATTTATATAATTATTTTACATATAGATATTCACAATAGTATAAAGCATTATTATGCTAATATATCATACAACATATTTTATATCATACTTGAACTTTTATAATTATTTCAAGTATATATATGTATATGTATGTGCTGCATATATTTTATTTGAGTATATGTATCTCATGCCCTTTTCTTTATCTGCATTTCACAATTTAAAAAATAAACAAAACATAGAAAGTAAAAAAGCTAACCTATAATTGAAGAATTAAGAAATAGTAGTAAAAGCATGTCATTTTAAAATATGGAAAGGAAAGCATGAAAAAGCAAAGAAAAAAAAAGAAAGTTATCATTTTCAAGGTGTGGAATTCATGACAGCCAATGCTGGTGAGCCAGGAGGATGCTATTTATTCATGATGAGCTTCATTGCACTGAACTAAGGGTGTGTTTGTATATCTGATTAATAAATATTAAAAAAAGTAACTTTGAAAATAGAATAGTGGTGGAGTGGGGCATGTGGTCACATTTCCATCCAGGCTAGATTATTTTTCCTGCTTTTTAATCACAATGGTGTTTATTAATTATAATGATGCTAAGTGTCTGATTCTTTTGAGTTGAGAAAAGTATAAGCAGATTATTTTACCAAATAAGCAATATAGAGGCATTAAGAAATGTTAATTAAAGATTTATTATCCAAGCAAACCCTAAAGAAGATTTTAAAACCATGATATGTTCAATACAATAACCAAGTCAATTAAAAATGCTTTACTAAATTAATTCCTGAAAGTTTAAAATTTTTGGCAAAATCAGAAGAAAAAACAATTATGGGTACCGGAAAGTGAGTTTTGTTTAGTGATATTACAGCTAATACTTGAAAAATTATTTTTTTAAGTTAGGCATGGTGGCATATGCCTATAATCCCAGGAATTCAGGAGGCTGAGGCAAAGAGGATTTCAAGTTCAATACTAGTCTCAGCAACTTAGCAAGGCCTTGTCTCAAAATAAAAAATAAAAGGCCTGGGGATATAACTCAGTTTTAAAGTGCCCTTGGATTCAATGCCTAATACTCCCACCACAACCCCTCCCTGACCTCCCCCCCAAAAAAAAAAAAAAAAAGTTGAGGAGAAAGCCAATAACTTCTGCGATTAGGTGACAATGTCCATTTATTCCCATGAGCAGAGCAAAAATTAATCATACAACACGGAGTGTGGTAAGAACTCTGACAGGAATAGCACAGTGGTACCTAGAATCTATGCCACCTAGAAGAGGTTTCCCAAGGTGAGTCACGTTTAAGCTAAAGTCAGAGTGAATAAGTTAGCCAGAGAGGAGGACAAGAGCAGAGAAGTTCCTCCCAGGGCAGAAGATAGCATGTGCACAGCCCAGAGCAGAGGATATCCTCAACACACCCAGACAAGTCACAGGCTTTCAGCTCACAACAGCAACTGCTAACAAACAGATCCTGATGGTCTCAACCAAAGAACTCACCACTGTGTCACAATAAACTACCTCTAACACAAATGACCATACACGGACAATACAGGGGGATAGCCTGAAATTCTTTTCTTAAATGTTCACTCCAAAATACAGCATCTCTGAAAAAGTGCTTCCAGGAAATAATCCAGATGCAATATTTAACTCTATTACTTAAAGAATTATAAATCAGAAGGATTTCTAGTGTATCTTTCCAAATATTATGTTTCCTAAGAAACTGTGCCCAAAGTAAGGAAAAGCAATAAAATCATACACAATGATTTATGTAGCTATTTTGCATATTAACAAGTACATTAGTATAAAATATAATTATATTAATAYATTATAACATTTTATATGATTAAACTTTTAAAATAGTTTAAGTATATATATTTTGCCCTTCTCTGTATAAGCTATACTTCATAGTTTAAAAA